GCAGGTGATGAGGGCAGCTCTGGAAAGGTGAGAGGAGAGAGGGCGCAGCGGGCTGGAGGGTCCAGCCGGGCACTCCCTACCCCACACGGGGGCGGGGGGGGGCGCTAACTCCTCTGCAGGTGACTGCTGTGAGGGCTGAGCCCACGGGCGCCCGTGCAGCCTCCATGGTCTGCAGCTGCTTTCCCTGCAGGAGGGCTTTCTACCCCCAGCCTGCAGGGCCTGGCCACGGTGCCAGAGCTGTGCCCAAGTGCCCCGTCTCCCCACGCCACAGCTTCACCCGCAGCTCGCAGAAGGGGAGACGGACTCAGGGAAGCGGCTCCTCCCTGCGCCTGGGAACGGGGGTGAGTCTGCCCGCTGCCAGGCACGTCCTGTCCTCACAGGAGAAGCTGTATGGAGATGCACTGTCCGTCTCCCAGGCCAGGCAGGGTCTTGGGTGAGGGCAGGTGGGCAGGGGCAAGCGGGGACAGCCACAGGAGGCAGAGGGTGAGGTCAGGGACCCCGGAGCTGTATGGAGAGGGTCAGGCCTGGGGGGGGGGGTGGACGCTCATCTCTGCCCTCTTGCGCCTTCCCCTTGGGCCTGCCTGGAGTCCGACCTCTGCCTGGGGGTGTGAGTAACGGGGTAAGTCCCCACCCCACTCCCACTGCCCCTGGCTAGTGGGAGCAGAACAGACACCGCTGTCCCCTGGTGTGGGTGCTCTGGGGAGGCTGCTGGAGGGAGAAGCGGGGGTGGGGAGGCTCAGGCTGGAGAGGGATGGGCCAGCACAGGGACTTGGGGCCTGCGGGGGGGTGGGGGCTGTGTGGGCGAGGGTTCCGTGGGTTCCGCAAGGGCACAGCCCTGCCTGAGACACCAGCTGTGGTTAGCGAGACAGCTCTTGAGTAAGAAGAGGGTCGGTCAGCTTCACCCAAAGTCCCTGAAGAACCCGTTCCAAGTTCCTCAACGGAGGGGCTCCGGCCAGGCCCAGGACTGCTCTGGGTCAGGCTGCCAGGGCCAGAGGGAGGACTGCCCAAGGCCAGAAACTGGACCACCCCCTCCCCCAACCCCTCCCCCGCAGCTGAGCCTCACCCAGCAGGCAGTGAGCTACCGAGTTCTAGTGGCAGTCACGGGTTTCATGAGGAAATCTGCAGCGGTCCTGCCCCCGGGCTGTGGTCTTGCGGCCCAGCCTCAGCTCACCCCTCTACCACCTGGGATGGGCACAGGCCTTGGGTTTCGCCTGGACGGGCTCGCGCATAGTGGGCCCCAGCTCAGGGCCCCACCTGCCCGGGGCTCCCGGCCACGAGCACCGACTGTCTTCCCAGAGGCCGCCCGCCCGCCCGGGCGCTGACCGCCGTCTCTGGGGATGGCGGCAGCCGGGAATGTGGGTGGGGGCGCCCGGGGCGGCTGCTGCTGGACAGAGGCCTCAGTGTGGAGCTGCGGTGTCCTCTCCCGGGCCAGGCCCGTGACAGCATGACAGGCTGTCTGAGAATGCTGCCCATTATCCGCAGCACAGAGCACAAAGGGGCCGCGCGGGTCTGGGACCCCACTGCAGAGGGCAAGGACTTGCCCCGACGGGAGAGGGCTTCTCTCGCAGGAATGAGAACCATTTCCTCCCGCCCGGGAGACAAAGGCGGAGGCGACTGGGGCTGGTCCTCCAGGCCACCGTCCTGAGCGGCCCCTGGGAGCATGGCCCCTGGGTGGCATCCCCAGGGGCAGGGGAGAGCCCCCAAGGGAGGCCACACCCCTGGTTGACCATGGGGGCTGGGCTGCGTGAGGACCCCTGTGGGCAGCAGCCAGCATGCAACCCTGGCCGGTGCCAGCCAGAGTCACCCCCCTCCTGGGCCACTCCTACCCGGTGGGACTGGGGCAGTGACAGGGACTCCCCCGGGGAGGGGTTAGGGGGGTGGGTCACGTGGGGCTGGCTATTAGCTGTGTGACCTCAGGCCAGCCCACTGGCCTCTCTGAGTCTGGCACCAGATTTATATGAGAGGGGAGAGACACGGGTGGGTGGGGCTCATGATGGCATGGTGCACCTCAGAGACCCTGGTGGCCCCCACACAACACAGCTGGTTTGAGGGTGACATTGCCTTGGGCTCGCCTGAGGGGTGCGGGGCTGGGGGTGGCCAAGGAGCCTGGAGGAGAGGACCCGTGCTCACTGGCTGGTCAGTGGCCCCCCACTTGCTGAAGTGCTCCCCTCGGCTCAATGGCAGAGCTTGAGGAGGGTTATTCTCTCCGCTCCCAGACGGTGAAACTGAGGCAGAGAGAAGTCTGGGTGCTCTCCTCACAGGGCAGAGGCGCATCTCTGCATAGGAAATGGGGTGGGTGCAGCCCCCGGGCTATGCGGTGCCCTGGGGGTGCTGAGCTGCCCAGAGGATTCTGTGTCCAGCACCTTCCTGCCCCAAGGCAAAGCTGGGAGCAGCCAGCCTGTCAGGGGCACTTCCTGCTGGGCCAAGGGGGGGGCGGGGGGTGGCCCCTCCTCCTAGCACAGGGCCCTCTGTTATTTTTTCCAATAGAAGAAGAAAAACATTTCCTCCTCCCCGTGACACCCACCTCCTCGCCCCCTCCTGTGGCTCTGTCCTGGCCGAGGGGAGGGACGGAGCAGGGAGACAGCCCAGGCTGCTGCTCTGCAATGGCCAGGCCCCTGGATACCCGGGTCCCCCCCCCCCAGCCTGGGGCTGCCACTCTGCCAAGCCCACTTCACACTGAGGTCTAAGAACTTTAATAACTGCCTCTCAGGCAAGCTTTACATCATTATCTTACGTGAGAAACCAGTATCACTTGCCAAAATCAGAAAATAACTGCAAATACTGAAAGAAAACAAGAAGCTATCTGTTAAATTCTAGCCAGCTGGTGTCAACGCGCCGCGCCTGAGACCTGCGCGTTATTAGAAACGGACAATGACAAATGTTAGCGACATTAAAGGCGCATCAGCCCCCCGAGACGTCCCCATCAGACGGGCAGGCCTGAGTCTGGCTGCCCTGAGAGCCCAGGGTGCAGGTTCTGCGAGTTCAGCCACCCAGGCGGGCGGTGCCCGGGTGCCTCCACCCCACCTTCTGAGATCCCTGCTGAAGCCGAGGGGAGGCGAGGGCTCCCCTCTTCCTCCTCTGTTCACCCCATAGAGATCACCCCCTCCCCACCCAGCTGGGGTCCTGGGTGTCTGTGGCCAGCAGCGGGCAGAGGGGAGAGAGCCCGGCACCTGGAGCAGTTTGGGCGCAAATGCTCCCGGCTGCTAATGGCCCTTGGCTTCTCCGCCTGTGAAATGGGTTAGATGGCCTGGCCCTGCCGGGCAGCTGTGAGGATGCACAAGCGGGCGCACGTGGTGGGCAGAGCTGCGCTAGCCACTGAGGGCCTCAGGCAGGAAGTGGGGCCCTGGGGGTCTCTGCTCCCTGCGAGCAGAGGGGCAGCAGCCGGCCTTTGCCAGTGCCTGCAGTGTGCCCAGCTCTGCGCTTTCGGCAGGCTGGTGTTGGGGTTTCAGGCCCCGCAGGCTGGTGTTGGGGGGGGGGACCCGGGTATCCAGGGGCCTGGCCATTGCAGAGCAGCAGCCTGGGCTGTCTCCCTGCTGCGTCCCTCCCCTCGGCCAGGACAGAGCCACAGGAGGGGGCGAGGAGGTGGGTGTCACGGGGAGGAGGAAATGTTTTTCTTCTATTGGAAAAAATAATATTGGTGGGCGCTGAGGCCCTTGATTACAGATGAGGAAGCTCAGAGAGGGCACTGGCTGGCCCGAGGCCACACAGCACTCCCTCCTCCGGCTTCCACCAGGACACTTGGAGCCGGGCTGTGCCCTCTGCGGTCTAACTCTGCCCTGCCCTGGAGGCAGGTAGTTTGGTCCACAGGGCCAGACCGTGCACCGTGTCCCAGGCTCAGCGCGAGGACACAGAGCATTATCCTCAGGGCTCAGTGGGGGGAGCTGCAGGATGCGGCAAGATGAGCCGAGACAGGAAGGAAGCTAGGAGGGGCGAGAGGGAGCGCGGGGTGGGGGCTCAGGAGGGAGCCGGAGGGGCAGAGACTCGGCGAGATAGAGAGATACACACACAAAGAGACGGGAGAGCTGGGGGTGGGAAGAGACCAGGCAGGGAGAGAGAGACAAAGAGAGAAACCAGAAACCAGGAGGAGCAAGCAGACAAAAAGAGGTGGGGTGGGAAGGCAGGAGAAAGATAAGCCGGCTGGGAGACAGACGGCTGGAAGTGGGGCGCAGAGGAGGGTGGGCTGAGGTGCGGGAGGCTGGCAGCCCCCCACCCTTGGCTCCACAGGTGGCACAGGAGCCCCCTCCCCTGGAGGTGGACATGGGCAGACTGACGCTGTCCCTTGGGGGGGGTGCCAGAGCAGAGCCCCAGATTTCCTGCAGTGGACAGTCCTGCGTGGCCAGGCGAGGGACGGTGGGCAGGAAGGCAGGAAGGCCAGGGTGCTGGCCTGGAAGCCGAGGCTGCAACACTGGCCCTTCCTGCCTGGGGGCCGTGAGCACAGACCCCCACGACCCTCCCTGGCCAGGTGGGGACCAGTGAGGCCAGGTCAGGCCACCCTTGGGGCAAGGGTATGGAGCAAGCTGTGGCAGCAGGGGGTCAGATGCCCCCCCAACCCGCCCCTGCTCTGAGACACCAGAGTTGGCCTGGGCAGGGGCAGGAGCGGGGAGGGGGGTCTGGGAGCCGCAGACCTGAGCTCAAACATGGTGGCTCTGTCCCTGCGAGCTGAGCTCTGGGCCAGTCCCTTCTCTTGGTTCCTCAGCTGCAGGACGGCTAATACCGTAGCACCCCCCAGGGCAGGCTGTGAGGACATCGTGAGTCAATAAGTGGAAAGCCCGTGGCACTGTGCCTGGCGGGGCGCAGGCCATGTGTGCAGCCATCAAGGCCAGTGTCCTGGAGGCCCTCAAAGGGGCTGTGACCTGGAGTGGCCATTGTCGCCTCCCTGGAGCGCTCCGGCGCCTTCCAGGGAGGGGTAAGCGGCCCGGGGGCTCGTGGGGGCGGACTTCGCACTAAATCGGGAGGGTCTTCCTCCTCCTGGAGCCCGCGAGTGGAGTGCGGTGGGCCGGATGGCCCCCCAGGAGACCACTGGGGCCTGTCTGGTGCTGGAGGCTCCACCAGCACCCCCCACAGCCCAAGGAGTGCCCCCCCCCGTTTTCTGTCTGATCCTTGAGCCGGTCTCCCGCGCTACTTGTAAAGCCCCTCTCGTGGGGCTGAGGGGGTGCGCCGGCCTGGGGGTGCCGAGGCCTGGCAGCCTGCGCGAGGGGTGTGGCTGGGGACCGCTCGGGAGGACGGGGGTCCGGAAGGCGGAGCAGGAGAGAGGGGTGGAGGAGCGGGACGACGGGGTGCGGGGGAAGCGGCAGCCGGGACGGGGAGAGCGCGGGACGGGCAGCCGGGAGAGGGGCGCGCAGACGGCCCGTGGGGGCGGGGAAGTGGGGCAGAGACGGCAGGGCGAGGCGGGGACGGGGCGGAGAACCGGAGCCGGCACCCCGAGTTGGGGCGGGGGCGCCGTAGACAGCCCGGGAGCCGCCGAGAGCGGCGCAGAGGGACGGGCCCGGGGAGG